AAAAAAAAAAAAAGAAACTAATGCAGGCCTCAACCAAGACTGCTCGGAACTGCTGAAATGTGGCAACACACCAAAGAATCCTTTGAAACATCTGGGCCAAACCTCTGCTTTTGTGATAGAGTATTTCTAGTGCTGTCAGTAACAACCCCAAAGAGAGCATAATTTAGCCCATCATACTTTCAATACATTTTGTGCAGAGCTAGCTAGAAGAGCYGTGCAAGGCCGCCAGTCCAGCAGGCTTAACCCCACTGAGGGAGCAAGAATGACTCTGCTCACGGTTTATGTAGAACAGTGTCACCCTCATACATTTTGAGTAGATGTCCAAATAAGTCAGAACATTTGGTGCATTTAATAGCAATAGTGTTGGCCAAAAGATACTCGAACACACCCAAGTTCAATCCTGCCAGGTATGAGCAGTGAGGTTTTAGAAGAATGGCATCCGTGAACTGCGGGAGCTGCACAGAGCCAGGAGGCAAACACAGAGTCCTGATCACCCTCTCCCCACAATCTAAGTTACCTTCTGTTGATATCATCAACGCATTTCCATGCGCAGGAGTAATGTTAGTAGCATAATAACGTGGACATTATTCACTCATAGGTACTGGCTGCATCATCTAGACTTAATGAAAAATGATGTAAAGTGGTTAATGCATGAGGAGCTACCTGAGGTGCTCTGTACCACTGCTGTTATTAATCAGCTGCTCTATGGAGAAAAATGTTCCTATGGAGAAAAATGTTAGGAACACTAAGCCATCCTCAATACGTCCTGGGTCCTGGGGAAAAAGGAAGCTAACTAGTTCTGTATCTCAAATGGTACTTTGTATTTGCTTCTTTTAAAGGAATCTGTAGAGCTCCACATAGATCTTTTGATAGGATCATTCCAGAGGAAAGAGACATTATGTCTGCCAAGTTTCAGGCCAAAGCAAAATTTTAGAGCCGAATTTCAAGCCCYTAGAATACGGTTTTATAGTGGAAATGCTGACATAACTGTAGGTATTTTGTATGGCTCCAGTGTGCATCTGCTTAAATTCTGGTTATGATGTGCATTTAAATAGCATGGGATCAAACATGAAGTGTAAGAGGATATTTTAAGATACTATGTTTGAACAGATCAGTATTTAAACATTATTTATGAACTCTAAATGCTTTTGAAATGTGGCATTCAGTCCTCGGTTGCCTGCAAAGAATTTTGATCACGTTTCTCAAAAGGAACAGTAGCTTCATTTTCTTCCCAAATTTTAATGATGAGGCAATGCAAAGAAAAGACCTGGAAATATTTTACTGAACCTTTACTGTATATTCCTGGAAAACAAAGCTTTCTTTTATTCTTCACGATGATGCTCTTTGATTATTCAGTTCTGTCTGTTGAGGTACATAATCTGATGTTACTTGGAGAAGATGTTAGAAGACAATTTCTATCCAATTACTAGTGATTCTGGAAGAAGACAGCATCTGCTGGTAATATTTGCTGTGCTATGCTGTGCTAGGTGAATCTGCTTTTTCTTATGAAGTCATGAATTCATAATTTCACACTTTTTTGTTAGGTTGATTGCATAGAAATTCACACAACGGCTGTATCCCATATATKTCTTTTTTCCTATGTGCAAGAAGTGGTTGGTCCAAAATGGGACTTAATGTTCAGTAGTCTCATAGATTGACAGTAATGATGATGATTAGAAMTCTCATGACTTTTACTGCAAATGGGAGTATAGTGCTGAAAGCTACTAGTTTAAGTTGTTACTTAGTCTGTTGCAGTCTGGAACTTAAGACAATATACTTCATTCGTGAAAMAAAAAGCTTCTATTGTGTTAATTCAGGAAATACAATCTCTTTTCMATGCAAAAGGGTAGGGAACTTCGGCATTACTCTTAATAGTTTTGTCTAATAGGTTGAATCCATTTTCATTAATTACTAATACTGTGTATGAAGATCACAAAGTACATAGATAACATACAAAACGCAAAAAGTGTTTGAAGAAATGCCAGTCCTAGCAAGCCAGAGAAACTCTGTCATTGCTTTGTGTTAAGCCTGAATTTCACTCCCCCTGCAAACACATTCAGCCAGTGACAGGGAACCACTGTACTCCCCTACCAGAAGTTTTATGAGCAGAGTCACATTATTGGTCCTGTGATTAACACTGCTTTTTATTTACAATAAAAATATTTCTTCTGGTGAATATGCAGGACATAGTCTGGAAGGATGGCTTGGGCTTTGGCCCTGCAGTTGACTCCTTTATCTAACTGTTGTGCAATGTTGATGAAAAAAGACCTCTGAGTATACTTTTATTTTTAAACTTCTGAAAATTGGTGTATTTCCTTTTTATATGAACACTTTTTTTTCAGGGAAAATAACATGATATTAATCCTTCAAAAAATAAGTACAGAAGTGACTATATATTCTTAATGGCTAATAACCACAAGTCCAATTCATTCTAGTAATTGACAGAAAAATTCTATCTTAATTCTATGATAAACTCTGAATTATTTATTTCATTGCTTCATTCTAAATGGTGCTAATAGAGGTTTTTTTTTTTTTACTTTTGGCAGAGTCAAATGTTACAAGCAAGTACTGTAGTGCTCTTTACTGCAAACATACACTCTACATTTAGTAATTGTGCAGGAACTATCATTTGTTGGTCAGAATACAGAAAATGTTCAGGTGCATATTCCAAAAGCAGAATTGCATTATAGAAAAAAATATATGTCCACATTTAATGTACAAGCTATACTGCTTATGACTTTCTGAATTTGATGAAATCTTTTTACAAGTGCATTCGTTTTGTGTAATTTTACTGCTTTCCATTTGGATCAGGTATCATCTGTCACTAGTGTATCATATATTTTGCTATTAAAAAGGCATGAAATTTTAATTTTAGTGTGTCTATTAGTGTGCAAATGCCATTGAGAGTGTTTGGCCAGAACTCATGATGTAGAYTGAAATCCCTGTGCTTTTGAGAAAAGTGTTCACCAGGTTTTAGAAACCCAACTGCCATTGTCTAAAAATCAAGATATGAAAATAACTAAAACCAAGTATTATTTAAAGCAACTCTTCAGGGAACACGAATGGGTACATGAATTTTGCAATGAAATACTGTGAATGAAATACAAAATAATGTACATCCATATGATAAAGTTGAARTCATGATTTCATGATTGCATTGAACCTGTGAGAAAAATAATCCCAAATATCTAGAAAAATAGAACACACTTAAGCATTGCAACCCTTTTGAAAACACTAGTACTTGGATGATCTCAGTATTCTTTATTAATAAATTAATTTATTTAGATATATGCATTCTTTAAAAAAAAAATAAATGGCAACAATGACTTGAGGGTGGTCTAAGATGTCTGTCTTCTTTATGTAACCTTTTGCATTTTGTGTTTAAGAACTGACATTCCAAATGATTTTCTTTGGCCTTATGCCTGGACTGAATACTGAGGCAGCAAATTAGGAATGCTTAAGAAGTCCCACAAAGAAAGATGTTTGCTGTGAAAGTGAAGCTAATATGACACTTGCATTTGAAGCTTCTTAGCCTGCTCAAATGATAAATGAAGGAGACGGAATGAAAGAAGAATGAGAGAAAATACCATGTGCTGAGCTAGAAGTTGTTCCTCGTAGCCAGTTTTCTGCCACTGCGACTATGCTAATACTGTTCTCTTTTTTATTTCTGTTCCAGGAGCTAATTTTGTTACTCGAAAAATTAGCCGGTCGGTAGCAAAGATTCACCTCGGACAGCTGGAGTGCTTCAGCCTGGGCAACCTGGATGCTAAGAGAGACTGGGGCCATGCCAAGGACTACGTTGAGGTAAGCAATGGGCCACATAACCTGCAACATCTTTGTGCTACGATAACAGCTATTGCTCTAACTTCACTGAGCGTGCGTGATCCACAAAGGGCTGTCTCAGTCTTTTTTTTCTGCCTACAGAGGCCTGTTAACTCTGCTTTGCTCTAAATTTCAAACTTGGGAGTTTAGTAATGTAGCAGCCTACCCCAGGCATGACCTGAACAGAAAAATAAATCTTTGGGTTTACATTCCTTTACCAAATTCCTTTGGGGTGGTGGGGGACAGACTATGAAATGGGTCTGTTTAAAAGATTATTTTGCCTGTTGTTTTGATGATTTTTATGACCAATATTAAGGTTGCAGCAAGATGCAATATGAACTGATTTCAAAGACGGGCTGGAGGGTGGTGCTTCTTACTTTAGTGATCAAAGGTCTGGCTGGTTACWCATAAGAAAGAAGTATCACAACATAGCTGTGATGGCAAGAGTTGCAATGTACGTGTCTGCATCTAATGTTTGAAATGTTTTGTTCGTCCGAATTTGTTTCTAATTTTATTCTATGCATCTACTTCAGCAAACAAACAAACAATAACCCGGCATTGTATTACAGGGAGACATGAATGACCGTGTAGGAAACATTGTCCTTTCCCCAGGAGACTTCTGTCCCCATTTTGGTGCTTAAAGATTTCCTGTGGTGATTGGACTATTTCTGTCTTTTAATAATTCCTCGCTGGGAAACCGGATTTGGCTTCGTTATTCATTGATGTCATTTAAAAAGATGATGACTGTTTGTTTTGTTTTTCCGTATTACAAAGTAAGAAGTATTTCAGTAGGAAAAAGATCTGATTTGTGAATTTGTCACAATTTGAGGTACTTATTTAAGATAAAAGTATGAAAACAAGATTGTRGCGAGATTTTTTTGTTTTGGATGATACTAAAAAATTGTACACAGAAATATTGCCTTGGAATGAAAAAATGTTATATCAGGTAATTGAGAAAGTGACTTTTGCCTGCTGTCCATAAAATTGGCTCTTGGTTCTGCACTGCATTTGCATGTAAGTTGCGTTGTGATTTCCAAGAGAACCATGGATGTCAGCAAAGTCTAACATGACTGTATCTCCATGAATGTTGCTCTAGTTTTGGAGCTGCAGCATTAGTTGAAGTTCATCCAGTGAACCCAGTAAACCATCCCAATCTTCTTTTATTTTTAATTGATGAAACTATGGTCAAAATTATTCACAAAGTCMGATACCAAAGCTCATTTGAAAGGCAACACAAAAGCTAGATTAAAGGATCAGTTGCAAAAAAAAAATGATCATCATTTATTAAAATGCATGGGATATTCTATAAATACTTCAATTATTTAATTTAAAGATAACTTGCACCAAATTGCAAAGGAAAAGCATGGGGTGAATTCTGATGTCTTCACGCATAACGGAAATCCAGAAGAACACTCYGGTGCATAGTGATTTGGTCCTGCGTTCATTCAGACTTTAGGAACACCAAAAAGGAAATGAGAACATAGTCTATTCAGAAAAAAAATGACTGGCTTTCAAAGCCTCTGGCCTCCAGAAGGAATGTAGTCATCCAAGGTCCACAATAAGAACACACGTTGGTTGTGTAAGTAGCATTCCAGATCTTTCAGTTACATGTTTTGGGCCTGTCCCAAAATTCTCTGGAAAGAATTCCTCACTAAGATATAGTTCAACTTAGTATTTCTCTTCCCAGAGAGGTACCCCTTCAATTAATGGGAGAATTATTATCAATTCTCCAATTCCCCAAATGTACTGGAAATATGGTTATAAAGAGCCTTCTAATGGGTAAAAAAGAGAGTAACCTTAAACTGGAAATAAACAATTTAAGGCTTTAATGAACTGGAAAGTAGAGTTTAGAGATTTAACTTTGTTCAAATAAATACACAGTATCTTAGAAAGCATGGTTGTATTTACAAGCATTTTGGGAGCTTCCTTAAGCATATGGCTGAACACATAGGGATATATCTTATTCTCTCCATATGTACTTTTAAATCCCAGTGATATTAATACAAGTAACACATGTACATATAGACTACACCACATATTGTCTCTTCTTTCTCCTTATATTCTTATTAGGGATAATAATAAAACCATAAGTACATTCCTTTTTGTTGTCTGTAAAACATTACAGGGTGAATTCCTGATCCCATGAAATTTGATGGCCAAACTCCCATTGACTTCAGTGAAAGAGGTTTTATCCTGTATGTATTGTGTTGAGGAAAGCCTAGTGGTTAGAAGATAAAAGAAGTCAGAACTCTCCTGTTCTGACCACACAGGTTCATTGTGGTTTTGGACCAACGCTTCCATACCCCTAAATCCTGTAGTCAGAACATGTGGGTGTCCACTGAAGGCCRGACTGATAGTGTGTTCAACATCACTAGGGGGTGAACTTACCCATAATAGGAGATGATTCAAGTTTAATGCTTAAACATAGGTTTATATAAGGGGAGAACAGTTGGAATATGTGTTTGGTCAGGTTTGTGGTATAGGATTTAAATTGCCACCTGCAATAACCAAAACTGAGATATGGTAGCTTTTTTTTTTTTTTTTTCTGAATAAGATAGAAAGTATAACTTGAAAGAAAGGTTTTACTCCTTGGTTTCTTTTCACTGTTTGAGAAGAGCAAAATAGAATTAAGTAGGCAGTGAAAATTATGAGATTTACTAATTTTATCCTAAAATTACTTTAGGAACTGCTAAGATTTTTGAAGAAATCACTGCTGCATCTCTTCTCCCATTTTTGCTTGAATGTGATCCAGCACAAGTCTCATGGGGTGGGATTACAAATGATGATCAACACTGCTAAGTTGGGAAAGGAAAAACAGTGTATCAACACTATTGATATATGAATCTTCTGTGTGCTGTTTTGTTTTGTGAAGGTAATTTATACCTTATATTTATTGCAGAAAGTTACAGTAAGCCATCTGCTAGGTATTTTCAAATATTAGTACAATAGAAATCCTTTAAAAGTCTGGCTCATTTCTATGCCATTCATAAAACACATGGCATCATACAAATTTTTTCAGACACTCACCCAGGAGAKTATTATTTCAGATAAATACAGATTCATACAAACGTTCAACTTGGACCACTTAAAAATACCCATCAATCCATCAATATTTTTAATTTCCTAGCAGCTAAATGTAGTTAATGCAGCAGTCGTGAAGATACATCTGCAACAAAAAAAACATAAAGTGTCATTGCTGAGGAAGCCGCAGAAATGTTGATTTGAAAACTTGTAATGGGATATCCCATAAATATGACACTGTCTTGCTGAAAGTCAGCCCTGGGGAAAGGGCTTGTCTTTTCTAAATTTCAGMAGCCAAGACTTCTTTTTTTCCTCTCCTTCAGTCCTCTCTACATCACCTGCCRATGTTCAGATTGTCTTCTGAAGTTGCACTGCCCACAACTCAAAGCTGTGCAGACAGCAGAAATATGGAGAACACTTGCCCCACTACCATTTTAGCTTTGTCTCCTCCCAATGAATTATCCATATATTGGCATAATATATGCTTCTTAATTATTATGGTCACCATAGGCACAGTATTGATGAATGCTATGGAAAAGACTATTAAAAAATAATTTATAAAAGTTAAAAAAAGGRAAAAGTTAAATTGTTAAATTCAACTTTTAATTTTATTTAACAATTAACTTGTTAAATTTAATTGTTAAAAGTTAAATGTAAGTATTTGTAAAGATCAAAATTTTTTTTTTTTTTTGCCTTTGGTATAAATCTGGCAGTGTTTTAAGCAGTACTTATAGAGAATGCAAAAATGGTTCATATTTGGCTCAAATTCAATTAATTACAAGTCTACCCAAAATGATGAAAATTCATCACGTGCTTATATTCATAGGGCAATCAGGACCACTTTAATAGTCTGAGTATACAGCAATCTGTTTCTATTAATTTGCATTTAAATAATGCAAAAAGGAAAYAAAACCTTAATAGAGCAGTTTGTGAGTATGTAATATGTTAGCTATAATTTGTTGTACAGTTCAACCAAGCAAATTAAGAAAAGATTTAAAAAGAGCCTTTTCATCTTATATATTTTAATGGTGCTAGGACAAATTGATACTTCTAGTTGTGATTAAAGTGTACATGAAAGTGTACATAGACATTTTTATTATCTCAACCTGTTTTGAACATGCTGAACTTCCAGATAGTGAAATCTAATCTTCTGCAATGTGATGTCTCCTTTAGCATGGATTTTGTGTTTTTATATCCTATTGGCATTGCTTGGTCTTTCATYGATGATTCTTCTGTGCACCATCCTAATAGGTAGAAACAGACCCTTGGAGACAACTCCATCATTCTATTTCTATCATTTMTATTGTAGGAAATCTCTTTTTGAATGTTTATGTACATTTAAATATAATTTAAATTACATATATTTAAAAATAAAAGTTTATACAGAGTAAAGTAAAGCTTCCAATAGTGCTGCCYGGTGAAAGAAAAATATTAAGCCAGCTAGACTGTTTGCTTAGATAATTCTATCCCTGTTCTCTCTCTTCCTCGAAGTATTAAAGATACATCATCTTTTGAGAAGCATTCTGCCTTTGTCTGAGATGATCAGAAGTATTTTTGGTCAGACACTTACACAAGCCCAGAAGAACAGTTGCAGGAGATTCCCTTTGTTGAGGATTGTTGGTTATAAAAGGAAAGTCAATTATACCTGTGTAACTATCAGAATTTAGCATGAAATCAGCTTGTGARCTGAAAGGCAGGCTGTTAAAAGTTAATATTTTACCCTTGTTGTTATGGACAGAAGTTTAAAAGGGGGTTCRCTCTTACTGATGTGTTTTTGCATTCAAAATTAACCACTTATAATGAAAGTTAAGAAATAATTTTAAAACTGCTTTTGTTTTTCAGTACTGGAAGTTTTCGAGTGTGAGGGTAACATTTTTGGAGTCTTTCTGTCACTCAACTATATTTTGTATACTTCAAAGCAAGAAGTTTTCTTTCCATCCTTGAGTTCCTATAATTGATGG